AAATGCCCATTTCACAGCAGAAATAAACATGTTTGCAGCCTGGTTCAAAAACCATTTTGGGTTTAATATATCTAGTGTACATCCATGACAACTCTGACGGGGGTGGATTTTCATGTAACTCTTTGGTTTAAGTGGAATTTGATGCTTAAAAATCTGAATAATTAATGAGCATTCATGTGACTTCAGAGCTAGCTCCGGGGAAAGGCCTCAGCCTCACGTTGATAGATGTTCGGCCATTTCGACTCTCTGAACTTTAGTTTTGTCTGTGTTTGTGTTCATGTTTGGATGTTAATCTTGGAATTATTTGGACAAAGGGACAAGCTGTGGTTACTAACAGACCATCCAAGCAGTTTCTGCTTCTTTTTATCAGTAAGTATGCATGCATAAGAAACTTGAGCGGGTGCCCGGGACTGTCTCCTGCCGGAGAATAGCAGGCGGCGAGTTGTTCCCGGGCCGGGCTGGCTCCGAAGCGAGGCTGTAGTCATGCTGGATCTCTGAGGGAGACCACAGAAACACTGCAGTTCTTTTTGTTGACGCTGCTTCACTCTTGAGTCGCTCAACCGCATTTTTCTAGCTGAAAACACCCGGAAAACTCTGGTAGCTTCGGGTTAGTATGTAGCTAATGTCCCGCTGATCTCCAGCTCCCAGAAAAGGAACCATCAACAACGGCGGTGGACCAACCTGGAAAGTTGCGTACGCAGTTTTCCGACCCCGTTTTGTGCGTAAGCAAGCTTTATAAAGGAGGCCCCAGATCTCAACCCGATAGAGCATCTTTGGGATGTGGTGGAACGGGAGCTTCGTGCCCTGGATGTGCATCCCACAAATCTCCAACTGCAAGATGCTATCCTATCAATATGGGCCAACATTTCTAAAGAATGCTTTCAGCACCTTGTTGAATCAATGCCACGTAGAATTAAGGCGGTTCTGAAGGTGAAAGGAGGTCAAACACCGTATTAGTATGGTGTTCCTAATCCTCCTTTAGGTGAGTGTACGTCGATGGTCTGACCACTTTTAAACGACCTTCAGCGTTGCGGCAAATTGACGGCATTGTTTGGTGAAAACGGCTATGGATTCTATCTGCTGCAGCTAGCAAAAACCTTTGATTCCTTCAAGATGGTGAATAGGAAAACCAAAACAACTAGTTGGAGTGATAATAACCCGTCAGTAGGGCTGGGGAGAACAGCTGTGTGGCGTGATTACCCTTTGTCACTGCGGTGGACCCCTTTCTTATCTCACATAATAACTGGCTCCGTTGTTTGTGCTCCGAAAGATTAGCAGCTTTAAACTTGTTGCTGCTTCAAGATAGCATTTAAGTCCTGACCTGCTGAACTCCTGCTGATAACAAGCATATTTATAGCTTCATTTAAAAACCCATCATCTCACCATTATGAACCTCTGCAACACACTAATCACTTCCTAACAATTAGAGGTCAGATTTTAGGTACTAGTTTGAGTCCTTCTCAAATTCAGAACCAGAACAGGGATTTTGTGAAACTCCTGTCTTAATATTTTAGTAGGAGAGGAGAAGGTGTTCAGAAAAAATAATTTAAAACGAGGACAAAGAAACGCTGGAGTCTCTAAAGAAGCTGAGAACCGCTCAAGTGCAGCCGGACTGTGCGGACACAGCAGGAATCTCAGAGGGGTCTGAAAAAAACACTCACGGTGGTTTTTGCCAAGATGTTTGGTTAAAAACAGATCCTCAAAGATGGGGCGGGAAAAGGTCAGAGCCCGGGGTTCACTACGGCAAATAAACCACTCAGAGCTAAAGAAAAGAAACACTGACAAATTAGAGAGGTGAGTTTAACTTGTCGTTCTGAAAATTCTGTAATGAAGGCTAAATTATCATTAGGTGTACTGTGGAATGAGTTAGTAGTCTGCCAAATAAGTACTGCCTTTCACAAGAGCCCATATGTAACAAAGCTGTATTTAAAAATGACCATATTCCTGTCATGGCACATTTCAGCAGCTCACTTCAGGACATTTTTAGAGTGAAACTGCAGAATAAAAATGTTTCATATTTAAAATGATTACCCTAAAAATGAGAAATGAGCATAAATCGCGAGTCCCAAGTGAATGAATAAAAGTCTGTATAATGCAATAAAAATACTTCCCTGTGGACTTCAGTTTTAAAAAGTGACTAAGGCAACCTCACGAGGTCAGACACTTTGGTGCAGCGCTGGTCCCACAACTGTTTGTCAGAAGCATGAATCACATACCAGAAGGAAACGTGTGGCAGTTGATATTTTTCTCCAGCATATGTTTTATGGCTTTCTAAAATAGTGGATGAGTCATTGCAAATACTGGGATACAAAAAAAATCACTGAGATTAGATCAAGATTAATTGGAACTTCTAATATATCCCAACCATGTGTCGAGTCCTTAGTCTTCATCAGAAAAAAACAAAAAAACAGGATAATATGTTATCTTTATCACAACATACCTCCCAGGCCAACGTGCTTGTGCTTTAGATGCTAATTGCCTCTAGAATACCATCAGAAACCATGAATAGTAAAACTCAGAATCAGGATTTGGAGTAAAAACAAGTTTTTCCAACTCAGCCAGCGTCAAAGTGACCAAGGCCTCAACGACAATTCTTTACACAACAAAATTAATCCAAATCCAAAGAAGCCTAAACTTTTTTATAAGACCACAAAAAGTGAAAATGATGGTTTATTGGATAATCTAATAAACCATCATTTTCACAGGGGCCAGGGCCGGTTCTATAGGGGCCAGGGCCCCTGTGGGCCCCTGTGTTACACCGCCATTGATTAGATTCTCATATTCCTTTGAACAGCTCCAGCCATTTCAAAGGGCCTTTAACCCTTTTCAAGTGACATCACACCATTCATGAGAACACCTCTGTCGTCATTCACCACACTGGATGTCAGAACCATTTACATGCACTAAAACTCCTGTAAAGCTAGTTTTGCTTTTACGAATAATCTGTGAGTGGTTGAGGGGTTGGCTGCTTTAACGGTGTAAACTAGGGATGCACCGATACCAATACTGGTATCAATATTGGTGCTGATACCGATAACAGTATTGGTAAAAGTTAACCGATATCGGAAACCGATACCAATGCAGTTGCTTTAAAGTGGCTTCACTGTAACTTGTCATTTCTGTTGACCTAATATTTTAGTTTAGTGATCATTTCTATTAATATATTTTATTTTTTATCTACCTCACAGTCTTTTCCTGTTGAAAGCAGAGAAGAAAGTAAAACCTGTATTACAGTTCATAGCTTATTTTTGTGTGGTAGAAGTATCGGTAATCGGCGAGTACTCAGATCCAAGTATGGGTATCGTATCGGTTTGGGGGAAAGTGTTATCGTTGCATCTCTAGTGTAAACCCAATATTCTTGATTAGTGTTGGAACTTATGAATCTTTGAAGGGTTGAGCGATGTGAGCCACCAGTGTCCGTGACGGGGTGTCAGTGATTGTTCCGCCGATGTCCATGAGTGTGTGTGTGTGTGTGTGTGTGTGTGTGTGTGTGTGGGTGGGTGGGTGGGTGGGGGGGGGGGGGTTACTTCAAGACAAGACAAATATTGACAGAGATGGTGAACTGCGATGGACAGTCAAATGAACTAGCAGCCTTCAAAATATTCCTGGATTTGCAGAAAACACGTTTTACCGGGTAGGATTAACTTCCATACAGGGACTGACTGGGATGGACCCGAAATGATAACGGTGACGTGTTTCTATTACTCATTTATTGTTGGTAGTTTTAGATGGTGAACATGCATTTATGTCCCCTATTGTTATTTCTAGATAACATTATTGTTCCAAAGTAGGACAGCATCAGGATGAGCTTTGCTGTTGTGAGAAATCTTCCCCCACCCCGGGGTGAGAGTGGCAGCTCCAGTGTAAACACCATTTATCATTATGTTATGAATCTAGTGGGATGAATTGTGGAAATGTCAACGACTTGATCAAAATGGTGGACAGCAGTAGTTACGTAAGCTAATGTTCGTGAACTAGTTAACACTCAACTTTTGTAAATGCCGCTCTTTGAGCCTCACCTAGGTGTGCTAAATCTTCCAATAAGAGAACTGGGTCTGAAATAGTAGAAACCAGGCTAAACTGGCAACAAAAACAAACAAAAACTATCCCAGTCGCAAGTTTTTCTCCCCATTAAATACTCCTGCAATGTCCACCATGGCAGATCCATGTGGTAAGTATCAGTTGTGTTGTATCGGGGCAGTTCATACAAGTACAAAGACACTCATAAGGTACTGGGCCACTATTGACAGGTGACATATGGGCCATTCCCATCTGTACCGGGTCAGCCCGGTTGATTCCACACATCCTTGTCTTAAGCCCATGTGGGCTGACTACCCACCAATCAGAGGCTTGCTCTAATGGAAGGTGTGAATTTGCTGTCAGCAGTGGGTGTGTTGGCCCTGGTCGGCCTGAAGCAGACCCCCTCGAGAAGAGGGCTGAGAATGAGTCTTGGTTGGCCCGGAAAAATACCAGGCCACCCAGATATGTAAACAACCTACGCTACCCGGCCGGGGCCAACCCGGTACAGATAGGAATGGCCCATTAAATGCCAAAGGGTTAATTGTTTAAGGAACACCACCTGAATCACTTCGCTACATTACATGAGCCACCATTAATTACATGTCCACCCATCTGGTTGCTACAGTCCAGTTTTTGACTCAGGCGTAGCGACGCAGCACATGAACGATATCACAGTGATACAGACGTTATTAGGTAAAATATAAGAAATGTCATTCCTGCATAATTTAGTAATAAAATACCCTACATATAAAAATGTAGTTATTTAAAAAAACTGGTATGTTGAATTATTTTACCTGTCTTGGTGTTTTGACCTGTCCTATAAAGCCGAGTTTCGAGTCATTTCTTGCATTTTTCCCAACACTCTCCAAATGATTTGAGTCAACGAGGGTTGTAACAAGCATTTGCCGCTGAAGGCCACATTCTTTGATCCCCACCCTGAGTTTTAGGTCCTTTATTCTACTCTGTTGTGATGTTTTTACCTCAGCGTGTAGAGGATTTTCCCGTTGTTCCAGATCCGAAGCAGCTGATTGGGCGTCGTAATCCAGTGCGAGTCGGCATTCTTGGAATTCCTGAAGATGGTGTCGGGCAGCCAGATCAGACCGACCATATTGCTGTTTGAACAAGAGATGAATTTTAAAAAAATGAATAAATGAACTCACAAGGTGAGAAATCAGTCCTACCAAAGGAGTCTGCACCCTCTTCCCAATGAGACCATCATAAAATACCTGGGTGACTTGGAGAAAACAAAGCACATCAATCTATTTGTTCCGTTAACTGCAGCCGTCTCTTATAGAGAGAGGAGATGTTCTCAAATGAGACATTCACAGGATGAAAGTGATCTAAAACAGGAGTAGCTGCCGGTGGAAGGTGGACTCATTGAGGTTTGGGTTAAAGCATGATATAAAACCCAGTGATCATTCACGGGTATTGATGACGCTCCCATAGTTGCTATATAAATCCTCAGTAAACGCTTTATACCTATTGAGGGTTAGGATCCGCATGCTGCTGCTGTTGTACCGCAGACGGGTGTCCACCCAGGTCTGGGCGAAGATGATATCGATCTGGTACTCCTGGAGAGAGAAAAGCAGAGTCAATATAGTGGTCCGACAAGGCCTTTTAGTGAGATACACAGAGAGGAAGAGATTTTCAGGAGGAAGTCGGTGTTCTGAGTGCTGTAGTGGTGTGTTGGAGTGCAAAATGGGTCCAGATCAAAGAAAATCCTAAAGCAGTGCAGCACTCACTGGAAGTACAGATTCGATGTTTGATATGGAAACGAAATGACAGCATCTCCTAAACCAGGGATTCCCAAAGTGTGGTGCGCGCGAGGTGAAAAGTGTAATGGCTGCGGGGCTCAGAGTAGTCTGTCATATGTCACCATTAGCGTAGAAACTCATTTGTGGGTGGGCCAAAGAAAAAGTAAGTGGGCCCAATAAATGTAATTGAAAACAAGTATATTTTTGCGCACACGTGCGTGTCCTCCACATGTGCCCTAGCTTCATAATAACAATGCGCCGAGCTTCAGCACTCTGGCCTGCGCACACCGATATTTTCCGTATTTGATCATTTTTAACGGTGTTGGAGGAATCTGAAGGTGGCGAGTCATTCTGGCAGATTGTAATTAACACCTGTCTCATGCAGGTGTTCTGACGTTGTAAACCTCACACACAGAACAGTGTGGATGTAACTAAATAACAAGAAATGATTCCCATTCAGGC